CATTCTCGGTCTATAGTAGCTAAACGGTGGTAGTGAACCTGAATGGGTTTGGCCAGGATGCTATCAATTTGCTGTTTGACAAAACTTGTCAGTTTCTTAAAAGCCCATGGACCAAAGGTTAAAATTAACAGTAAGCTGACAAGGGGGCCAAGTGCAGGAAGCAGGTAGGGGAGTAGGCCATTGAGTCCGCTCCAAAGGGGGTTTTCGAACAGCTCTCTTCGCCTTTTCACCAGATCTTCCTGGAGTTTTCTTATCTTGTCTCAGACGATTCCAGATTTGTTGGCATAAAAACAGCAGCGTTCCTGTAGGGCTAAACATATTCCTCCCTGCTCTGCTATAACTAAATCTAATCCTCTTCTATTTTGTAAAACTACTTCTGCTAGGGAGTCAATTTGGTCTTGGAGATCATTGATAGTACCTGAAAGAGCCTGAATATCAATTAACTGATTAGATAATTTACTATAGGTATATAATGCGGTTCCTAATCCAGCTGTGCCAGTGGCCACAGCTCCAGAGACTCCCAGTCCTATAAGTAAAGGGATAAATTGGACAGCCAGCTTACTGCGTCCAGCAATGTAATCAAGGCTGGGTAGGGGGACAGGTTCTCCCCCTGGAATAATATCAATGTCAGGGAGAATACTAGCCTGAACACATAATCCTGTCCAGTTTAAAGGTAGAGCTGTATAGGCCATATTACCTCCACATACAAACACTCGTCCAGGAGCGGGGCAAAGGGAGGAACTGTGATTGTGAACGGGAGAGCAATTAACAAAGCTAACGAAGCCTACATCTAGATCATAACTATTATTCTGGGGGAGTTTTTGTAGACATGAGGAAAAGTTGAATGCAACAGGTTGAGTTCTAAAGGGCAAACTGAGGGTACAATTATTATTAGAAGTGATGTTACTGATGTCATCTGGAATGACAAGGGGCATAGGTGTACCTAGGGTCATGCATAGCCAACAGTTTTCTGCAAGGGATGGATTGGAGGCATTTAAAGCACGGAGTGTGGCTTCTAAGATATCAGAGGTTTGGGTGTCTAGATCTATGATGGAGGTCTTATATAAAAATTGTAAAAGTTTATCTTTTAATAGGTGACAATTAAGTTCTCCTGAATATCCATTTAACCCAATTTGCCAATTTTAAGTCAGTTTGAAATAGCATTTATTCTTTTAACTTTACTTGTCTTAAGTTATGGACAGTAAATGACCTTAATTAAATTTCTGGTATTAGTCTTTGGGTAAATTTACATAAACTTTGTTTAAGGAGACAAAACACAAATTATTTAATTTAGCTTTTGAGGCCCAATATATTGATTTTTAATTTTAGTTAGGCATCTGAAGGAAACCTTTTTATTTCCTTCCAGACAGCTTTCTTTCTCACACAAGCAACAAATGTAAGAAACATGGTTGCCTTTTGAGATTTTAACAAATACTGTCGCAAAGCTATATATTTCAAGTGATTATTTTAAAAAGGCAAAGCGAAGCAAGTAAATTTAGTATTTAGTAAACTTTTGATTCACAAGGGACAAATGCTGCCCCACCTCCAGCCTAATTTAATATGCAGCGGCAAGGAGCTTTTGTTATTTCAAATTACATCTTAAAATTCCACTGCTGTATTTTAAGAAATATTAAACAAAATTACTTGTTTTGCCCTTTCTCAGAGGCAAAAACTTAAAATATATTTATTAATTTATATTTGATAAAGCTTTCTATGTGATTTCAAGTATATTAAATTGGCTTTATTAAAAAATCCTTTAAGAAGAGAGAATAAACTTTTGAAAACATTTCAGGGCCCATGAAATGTCCCAAAGTCATTCCTTGGTTATAGTTTTGAAATCCAACTTGAAAGACCATCAAATATATATGTGTATATATGATTTAAAGATTATATACCTTTTATATTTATTAAGAGATCAATTAAATTTAAACTGATCTTTGTATATAAAATTTCTGTTGGGATCACAGAATTTATCCTCTTTTTTAATCAGATCAATGAGTAACATATTTTGAATTCTAATTATTTCAGAGAAAGCACAAGATTTTCTTAAAAATAAATTTCTCTACGTTAGGCATTTAGTTACCACAATTATAATTTTTCCCAATTTGATTTAACTAGAACTTTTTAGCTGGCAAGTCAAATATTTAGCATTTCTCAATCAGTAACATTTTTAGGAATAAACTTCAAAAAATGCAGGACATAATCAACCAACAGATTTAATTCTGTTCTTTAGATTTTGTACGAAGTACACTTAGATCTTATTTAATTCAGTATTATGTCACTTCAAGATACCTAGGTATAAACTCCAAGGTCTTAAGTTTCACAGCAGATTTGGAAAACCACACTTGAGGCTGGCAAGGCAGGCCTGGCTCCAGCCTTTGATTTTAAAACGACCATAATTTTTCCTCTGGGGAAGGCCAACAAACAAGGTTGTAGCTACATTGCTTCCTGCCCCTTGCTGGTCGGTGGGAAGTTTCAATATTGGCCTGGGGGAGGAAGGGGGTGGCTGTTTTCCCTGGAAGAACAGGTTTGGCCTAGCCTAGATTAATCAGATTTAAATTGACTATAGATCAATAATTCTTGAGATTCAAATCTAGATTATTATTTTAAGGCAGTTATTTTGGTAACTTTTCTATAACAGACAATTTTACTAAATTTCTTTGAGGCTTTTAAGATTAACTTTGGAACAGGCTTTATTAACATTTCAAAAATCACTCTTTATTATGGAAATATACCAATCTTATTGCTAGAACCAGCCTGCATTTCTTCCCTGGGTCAAATACGCCATTTTTCTTAGGAAATAATCAGTCTTGGGTTTTATTCTGTACATTTGCAAAGAGATTTTTAGCTCAAAACTCTATCTAAATGTCCAAAATCGGATGATGCGCGCTTTTAGTTCCAAGCCAGTTTTTCTCTTTACACGTGAACAGAAATCCCAGACACATTTTCTAAATTTTGTAAAACCTTTTTAATTACGAGAAGGAGATTTTAAATTTGAATACTGGGGAGGAGGCGTCCATATAGGATCGCCATGTGTTCCTTTTTCCTTTCCCCTACATATCCTGCTTTGGGGGAAGTTTTAGCAAATGACTCAGATGGCGTATTTTTCCCCACAGTCATGCTTAATAGAAGAAGATATTTTAAATTTTTTCCTATTTCGCTTTCTAAAGTCATGGCTAGCACCCAAGGTTATCTTAGCCAAAGTTTGGTTGTCATAAGATGTTCTAAAGTAAAGAAGCCTTTTAAGTCTTTCTTTTTAACCCTAAATCCTCACACCGTGAGGGACTCCCTGAGTCCTGTAAGAAGCCTTTTGAATCTTTTTAACCCTAAATCCTCACACCTTGAGGGACTCCCTGAGTCCTGTAAGAAGCCTTTTAAATCTTTCTTTTTAACCCTAAATCTTCGCACCTTGAGGGACTCCCTGAGTCCTTAAAGAAACAGGTCATGAGAACTCAAAGCCTGCCCATGTCTTAGCCTCTTCCACGTAAGCCTCCGGGACGTATAAGCCCCGTACCAGGTCAGCCCAGGAGTCGACAAGGAGATGAACCAGCGAGGGAGAGCAGCCAACTGCTACCTCAACGGAGAGGCCCCTGTTCACGTGTCATAGGTCTGGATGTTGAAATTCTCTGCTGAGACTACTTCAGTCCTGTTTATGCCACAGGTGTGTTTTCCTACGTAAGCAACCGGTTGGTATGATCCGCCAACTCGGACCCCTAGATCAGAGCTCCCCAGATCGAAACTTGTTTTCAAGTGCCTTCCTCGGAGCTGCTTCTGCAGCCCACTCCTCCTACGTAAACAGCCGGTTGGTATAACCCGCCAACTCGGACCCTTGTGAGGCAGGTAACCTGCTAGGACCCTCAGGCATTCACCAGTCGGGAGTCAGGCACCCCATGAGTGCTCACAAGGTGGACGGCCTGCGTTTTTAAGTAGGCAAGGAGTTTTCCCGGATAACACTGACACAAGTCCTCACTGGTTTACGTCTGAGTTTGGGTGGACGGTTTAAGCTTTAAAGTAGGCAAAAACACTTACTTCAGAGTCTCAGCTGGAGTCCCCATTTTCTCAGAAAGACCACTAAGACAAGGTGAACTCAGGGTTTTAGGAAGGAGTCAACCACGTGGAACGAAACCAAGGGACAAGCCTGAGTGATTCGGAGTTCTCTCCGCCGAAATCGGGTACCTTTCACTCTTCCCCGAAACAACAAGAGAGTGCTCAAAGTGGACTAGAGGCAGGAGACAAGGGGGGAGGCAATGAGGGAAGAGAATGCCTATCCAAAATGAATGCGTTCACTTACCAAAGCAACAGGTCTGACTCGCAAAGCGGGTAAGCAGAGCGGCGACCAGGAAAAATGCAGGCTGACTCACAGGGCGATCCCAGTGGCGCCAAAGGGAGGTCCGGCCGGACATAAAAAGTGAACGTTCCTGAGGAGGATTGGAGAGCGGAGATCACGGTGGGCGCCAGTTATGCCCCGACCTGCAGGGCACGCATCGTGGGTACACCGCACCAAATCCTGCAAAGGAATGAGAGGATAGGAGACGCGAAGAAGTGGAGGCAAGACAAAGTTCTGATCAAGCCTCAGTTTTATTTTACAGCGGGTGGTCTTTATGTAGTTTCTAGAGGAGGGGAGTGGGTAAAGGATGCCGTTAAGGATGTAACAGACTTTGGAAGCTGTGAGCTTATCAGCGGAGATGTAGCAGTTGTGTGCTTAGGGTGAGGGTATGTTATCTTTTAACTCCAGGTTAAATCGCAAGGTTATCTTTTAACTCCAGGCCAAAACCGGGAATTGGCTTGGAGGAGCCAGAAACCTATTATGCTGTAAACTGGAGATGTATATGTGATTTATAATGGCTCCCAACACACGCTGAACTCTCAGCCCTTGTCAGTAAGGATTCAGTCTAATGATAAGGCGAACATGCAGCAGTGAATACTGCAGTCACTGTTCTGAGGGAAGAATTTGCTCATTACGGTGGAGCATAGAACTTGAGAAATGAAAACAATTACAATGGCTTGTTACCATTTTATTGGACAGTTTTTTAAAAACCACACTTTGCCCTGGATTCCAAAATGCTCTGAGCTCCCATTACAAATTTCCATTTCTCCTGGAAAGAAAGTAAAACTTTTTAAAAGCTCATCTCAGAGAAAAAGGAGGCTACTAGCCCAGCAAGGTGACTCAGCAAGGACACAGCAAGGTGACTCAGCGAAGGCCCAGCAAGGTGACTCAGCAAGGGCCCAGCAAGGTGACTCAGCAAGGGCACAGCAAGGTGACTCAGCGAAGGCCCAGCAAGGTGACTCAGCAAGGGCCCAGCAAGGTGACTCAGCAAGGACACAGCAAGGTGACTCAGCGAAGGCCCAACAAGGTGACTCAGCAAGGGCCCAGCAAGGTGACTCAGCAGTTAGGGAACAGGGTGGATGCAGAGAGCGGCCTCCATTGGCAGTGACCTCCATTGGCAGCGCCCTCATTTCTGTGCCCTGGGAAGTAATCAGTACTGTCGCCCTCAAAGAAGACAACATGCAGTTGCATTTTTGTTTTCACTGACAAATCAAATCATGATCCAAGTCCTTTACCAACAAAGCATTTTTCCTTTGAAATACAATTTCTAATCAGCTTAATGCTTCGGTAATCCCATTTTACTCTGCACTTAACTTCCAAAAGTCGGGGCAACACATCCATTTCCTGTGGAGAGAAAAAACAGGAACAATAATAACAGTGACAAAACCTCAATTTTGCTCCTTAGCAGCACAGGTGAGGCGGGTCTGGGAATGTTTTGGAAAAGCTTTGCGCTCCAGGCTCGGACCACGGGTTGCAGTGCGCACGGTCCTGGTGGACAGGCATGCTGGCAGCTCACCCACGAGCTCCTGGGCTGCAGAGCAACCTCGTGTGCATCCTTAGGGGACCCCAGCCCCTCAAGCATCCCCCCCTGGTCTCTGAGCTCCCAAACCCTTTCTCACTCTCCTCTCTCCCCTGCAGGCCTCTCCTCTTCTCAGCTCCGGGACCAGGGGGCCAGAGGCCCAGGCATTCCTTTAGCAGTTTTATGTTTGCTGATGCTGAAAAGGACTTCAGAGCCATGTACTGGAGGCGTTTATTGTACACCATGTGGTAAAAATATACACACAACCCACGGACACAGACTACAGCGCAGTGAAGGCCTAGGGGGCAGAGTGGAGGCTGTCAATGGGGGAATAAATGAAGTATGGTACCTATTTGCTTTGTTTAACAATGGACAGGTTATTTTGATTTTCTGAATTATATAAATCATCCCATTCGATTAAATGCCCTATTGATTGTAATGTGAATATCCCATGGGTTGTGGTCATACTGGTCTTAGAAAGCACATTTTCCTTTACCTTGAAAGGACAGCACAGTTATCCCAAGGTCAGAGGGCTCTAGACCCAAAACTGTAATTTAGATAACATGCCTAAGTTTAACCCAGGTTACCCAAGGGCTCTAGACAATGTGTTTCTGTAAACTGCTTTTTTGCAAACTAGGTTCCTCATTCCAGACCCAAGGGCTCTAGATAATGTGTTTCTGTCAACTCAGTGGTCCCAAGACCCAAAAACTATAATCAATCTTTGTAGATAACTAATCGGCTCAATCTCGCTTCTGTAACTGCTTTGTGCAAACCAGGGTCCTCATTCTAAACCCTGGGATGTAATCAATACCTTTGTGATTTTTGCCTATATAAGTCTGGTTTTTCTACCATCTTAGTACTATGAGATTTGGGGAATGGCCCCTCATAGTCCTGGATTGCAATAAATGTGACTCTTTAATTCGACTTCTTGAGGCGTCCTTCTGTGATTCGCGGGGTACATTACAACATAAAGGGACATCTGCAATATGTTCAATGATAAAGATCATTTTTTTAAAGCAAAACAAATAGCTGTCTCTTCCTTCATTTTGAAATGCATTAGGGAGATGGGGGAAGCCCTCCTCACCCTTCGTTTTCCTAACCTGGGAGATGCCTGGTCCCAGAATCGGAATTGGCAAGTCCCTGCCTCAGCTGTAGAAAAGGGGGAAGACAAAAACTTAATCTTATATTAAACTTACGTAGGGGGACCTAAAAAATTCTCCCTATGGCCCCCATGGCCCAGTAAAGTGCTAATAGTCTGTTATAATTATTTTCATGGGTCAAATTTCATGCTTCGCTTAATGAACAGAAAGAGAAATAAAAGAGAGAGAGAGAGAGAGAGAGAAGGAAACAAAGGGAAGAAGGACGGGGAGGCAGAGAAGGGAAAAGAGGAAGAGCAAAAGGAAAAGGAGAGAAACGTGGAGAAGAGGCATCATTCTCTCAGAATATAACACACAGGCATTTTGAAAAACCCTAACTTAACTCTGGTGCCGTGTCACATAGAGAAATGTTTTGATATTTGCAACCATAGTAAAACAAAGACTTATATTTTTGATATTTATTTTGTATATTTAAATGCCATTTAACAAAGAAAAATCAACCAAAAAAATGAGTTCGCGTGTCACCTCTGACACGCGTGTCATAGGTTCGCCATCACTGCTCTAGAGTCAAAACAGCCTAAGAAGAAAAACCTTTCCTCCAAAGCCTTAATTTCAAACTAAATTATCCATGCCAATGTAAACGACAATCAGCTATCTAATAAATGTGGATACCTTAGATTTCATAGTTGTTCCTTTTTGAGTATTAACTTTGCTTTATAATGATTACTAATATAGTATTGTAAGAAATCATGAAGTCTCAATATAACTACCTCA